ATTGTGAAGACTTATACATTTAGATGACGACATAACAGATAAATAATAATAACGTATCCAGAGAGATGGTGTATAGTGATAAACAAAACTCCCTTTAACAATTGTACCAAGATCTCTGAAACTAGATACGGTAATTACTGTGGAACAGTAAAACATAGCATGGTATTGGTCGTAAATAGATAATGCCTTAGAATCATTATTCTTGTCGTTTTGTTTAACAATGTACTGATGTTTCATTTTGTTTGAAATGTTTTAAAGGAGATTTTGAAAAATCAGACTTTTGTATAAACTGCTTCTGTCACTATCAAAATAAACAATTTGATAATGCCAATTTATTCATTAAAAGTTACTTTGTCGTCACTCGCTGGTGACTTACATTCACAGATTCAAAAAGAAATTTCATTATAGAAACCAATTGTGGTGAAAGGAAAAAACCCTCCTCCTTACTTTGCATTTTCTTGAGTTTTCATTGATACTTTAAAATGACTTTCAAAATTTTATTTCATGATTTCCGAGTCACCTCGTACGCCTTCTTACTTCTCATTCTTCTTGAAATAACGCAATCTTGAATATTTAATGAGGGCACAGAATATATCACTTAGAGGCAGGTTAGAAATGCATTATCTAGACAACTGATATTACTGATTAAAACGTATGTAATATTTACTATTACTAGGTTTAAATCAAATCTACCACATTTATAGATAAATTATAATTTGTTAATCACAAATGTAGAGAGACCAAATTTCGCTTGTTATCAAATACATAGTCTAAAAGGTTTATAGTTAGTTTATACAAGTTTTATATGTTCCATGTGGAAAGTTAATATTTTGTTTATTGGAAATATCAAAAAGTGTAGGACCCTCCGAATTAAATTTCTAAAGGATGTTGTTTATTGAAAATGTCACAAAAAATGTAGGACCTCTCGAAATAAATTTGTATGATATTAGAAAGGCGATATCATCTGATATAGGTGTAGAGATTACAGGGATTGTTACGGAGATGTAAATATTCTTTTCTAATTTAAATTGTTTTGATTTCAATTATTATGTGCAACGATTTTTCATTGAATTACTTACCGAAGATAATATTGTAAAATAAAATGGCGCTACTTGAAATGAAATGTATAGAAATTCAATCGACACAAGTAGAATGAGGCTGACGTGAATTACACATCTATACAGGAAGTGACGTTACTTATACATATAAGCCTCCAAAACACGTCCTCGCTGGAAAACCATTATTACTAGCGGCACTTGGGGCCATTGCAGCATTCCGTGAAGTGTTGGAATCTCCGGGGTAACCTGCTAGCTATTTACTATTACTTATATCGTAAACCTTAGTCTGCCTGTCATCGCGTCATATGGGCTATGAACTCCAGCCGAGTCACTCTCAGCAGACCGAAGCAGTCGAAATCAGTTTTGGAAAAGGGTTTCATTTCTTTGGACACATTACAGATTTTAACAAAATTACAATTTCTTTTGGTCAAACAGTTTCAGATGGTCTAAATATCAATATGGAGACTGTCTTGATTTATCTACTTTATTGAAAACTTGTATAAGTTGCAGTAGAAATATCTATAATTTTTGTGTGCTTTCCCTTACAGTGAAAAGTATATGATATATAACTCTGACCAATTAATGTAGAACTATCGTAAAATATCAAAGACAACCATGTTTATATGATCTGTATATTCATTGTGTCAATTAATTTACAGTAAGACTTTTGGATTAATATCAACCAATGACCTTTAGTTAAAAGGTCATTTAATGAATATTAAATCTTATAAATATGTTTTAACTTAGCACAGAAATAAACCAATCATATTTTGTAGTAATTATGACAAGTCACTATTGACAAAATGTCATTTTATACCACAACACAAAATTAATTTATGTGAAAATATTGCCGTTGTATGTCTAGGGTTTAAGTTTTCCATCTAACCGAATGGGTTTTTATAATCTATTTCTTTTATTGAGGAATGATCTCCACATTCTACGACTTAAGGACAGGCATAAGACATCGTTTTTTGTGATTCAAACATCTTCATCTATCAACTCCTTTGTATAATATGATAATTTCAGGGTATCTGAAAGGTTGTACAAATACACACAAGTAAATAGCGTCTTTTAAACAAATGTAGAGTTCTTAGTCCGCATATTACTATGGCTTTTATTAGAGCATAAAGCCTTAACACTGAACTTATTAATGGATAATTGAATTCTAAGACGTTTATCCATTTCAAAAAGAACATTTTATCTTCTGATATTTTGCAATGACGGGGAAACTTTTGTTTACATAGAAACAGGTACAAGGTAGGCAAATACACAGTATACATACTGTTTATACATGACTTTATATAAATAATATAAAAAAATAGATATTGAGCTTTGCTTTCGATGTTACCTGGTAAAATATTCCATTATTCATAATAAAAGAATCTGGTCCATTTTGTGCGCTCTATGAGACGCTATTTTACAATATCAACTTGTCGTCTATACATAAAGCGCGATCCCTGATGAAATGGTGAAGATTGACATGCCCTGGTACTGTTGCTGTGAAACTGACATCGCTGTGAACTTTGACCTTTCTCGCTCTATCACCTCTGTATCAGTTTACCACCATTCATCAATAGCGTGACCTCGCGGCGGGAGGTCATTTGCCTCCCTATCAGCGAATTACACGCATGTTATTACATAATGAACTCGGCGCGGTATTTAAAGGTCGACTTGATCCTGATATAAATTACAACTTTGGGGGAAAAAAACGAGATTCTGAATCACATTTATAAACACTTTCCATCGGAGGTCGGCGACATTTCAAGTAGATAACTGTTTGGAAAAGTACAAACTTTTTAACCTTGCATATAGGTCATAAAGTAATTTAATGAAATACTTTAATTACTCTAGTTCGTTATATGCACTAAAGTGCATTGTTATATAGTAATAAGAAGATGGTTTGTTACCTGTGTCCACCATCAGAAGTAAAATATTCGAGAGTTATGGTAATTCTGATAATTGACGTTTAAGCTGTACCTTGTCATAAACATACGAAATTTCCAGCCTTTCACCAGGCAGGTTTAAAAGGTTTAGAGACATCATTAAATAACTAACTTTCGTTTTAGTTTAGTTTATTACCAGTGCAGGATCGTTTCGATCCTCTATACCGGTCTCAGTGATACAATGATAATGTTAACGTTTTGTATCACACTTATGGCCATTGAACGAGTAAAATATGTGACGGGGATACTTGTCTAATATAAAGGCCTTTATAGTGTATAGTATTATTGTGATAATTATTATGAAAATATATCTTCACAATGAAAGCAGTTATCTGAAATTTTCAAGCCGAAACGTCCTTGCCGTTCCACCTAATTTGTTTCCGGTTTATGTACTTTTTATGGAAATACTAACCAGAAGAATGTCTCTTTATATCTACTTGGGATTTGCCAAATGTTGACAAGCATAGATACAGTGTATATAAGTATTTATCTTTACCCCAATTTACAGCAGATAGAGGTAGTTATGTAATGCCATATGTTCATGCTTATTATCATAAAAGCGAACATAACGGGAAAAAGAGTAAATATATACAAACGAAATTAAATTATACCTATATTTAAAAAAAAAAGTGATAGAGTGTTTTCACCTGTGTATTGAATGTACCAAACCTTTGCGGGTTTTTTACTTTTGTTGTATTTTGACCGCAACTTAAATTCTGCTTTCAGTTAAATTTCAATAATAAACATCAATTATGATATTGCAGCATCTTAATACACTGTGCAAATATGTATCAGTAACCATTACCTAGTCCGCACACAGTCAATGCATTGTAGAAACACTAATCTGAATTTCAAAAAGGTTCAAACTTTAAGTAAACTTATAATTGACCTGTGTTTTATTTTGTATTGAGAGACAGAAAGAACATTGTTGAATAAAACAAAATAAAAAAAAAAAAAACAAATAAATTTTGGGTAAAACTCACTTATTTCAACAAAGCAGCATTTTTTCTTGAATGTTGCTTCTATTTTATTATCATTATTATCATTGCACATTCTGATTGCTTGTACAATAAGTTTATTAAATCATGTAATAGATATTCTTTAAATGCAGGTCATATCTGTTTCAAGTTACAGGTAGTTTGCTATAAAGACGGCGTTTAAAGCTAACGGGGTCAACCAGAGAACTATCTGTCAGAAATATATCCCGGCATCATTACTATTACGTCTCAAGGGGAACAAACTCACATTATATCATAAATGTTCGCAAGCAATGCTGTACAGATATCTACAATGTATCTTTGGCCATTATATTCAAATAATCTGTATAGCTTTGTCGTTAAGGTGTGTGTCTGTTTTACTCCTATGTCCATTGTCGTTAAGGTGTGTGTCTGTTTTACTCCTATCGCCATTGTCGTTAAGGTATGTGTCTGTTTTACTCCTATAACCATCGTCGTTAAGGTGTGTGTCTGTTATAATCCTATGTCCATTGTCGTTAAGGTATGTGTCTGTTTTACTCCTATGACCATTGTCGTTAAGGTGTGTGTCTGTTATACTCCTATGTCCATTGTCGTTAAGGTGTGTGTCTCCTTTACTCCTATCACCATTGTCGTTAAGGTGTGTTCCTGTATTACTCCTATCACCAATGTCGTTAAGGTGTGTGTCTGTTTCACTCCTATCACCATTGTCGTTAAGGTATGTGTCTGTTTTACTCCTAGGACCATTGTCGTTAAGGTGTCTTCCTGTTTTACTCCTATGACCATTGTCATTAAGGTATGTGTCTGTTTTACTCCTATGACCATTGTCGTTAAGGTGTGTGTCTGTTTTACTCCAATGTCCGTTGTCGTTAAGGTATGTGTATGTTTTACTCCTATGTCCTTTGTCGTTAAGGTGTGTGTCTCTTTTACTCCTATCAACATTGTCGTTAAGGTGTGTTCCTGTTTTACTCCTATCAATAATGTCGTTAAGGTGTGTGTCTGTTTTACTCCTATGTCCTTTGTCGTTAAGGTGTGTGTCTCTTACTCCTATCAACATTGTCGTTAAGGTGTGTTCCTGTTTTACTCCTATCAATAATGTCGTTAAGGTGTGTGTCTGTTTTACTCCTATGACCATTGTCGTTAAGGTATGTGTCTGTTATACTCCTATGTCCATTGTCGTTAAGGTGTGTGTCTGTTTCACTCCTATCACCATTGTCGTTAAGGTGTGTCCCTGTTTTACTCCTATGTCCATTGCCATTAAGGTGTGTGTCTGTTTTACTCCTATGACCATTGTCGTTAAGGTATGTGTCTTTTATACTCCTATGTCCATTGTCGTTAAGGTGTGTGTCTGTTTCACTCCTATCACCATTGTCGTTAAGGTATGTGTCTGTTTTACTCCTATAACCATTGTCGTTAAGGTGTGTGTCTGTTTTACCCCTATGTCTATTGTCGTTAAGGTGTGTGTCTGTTTTACTCCTATCACCATTGTCGTTAAGGTGTGTGTCTCCTTTACTCCTATCACCATTCTCGTTAAGGTGTGTTCCTGTATTACTCCTATCACCAATGTCGTTAAGGTGTGTGTCTGTTTCACTCCTATCACCATTGTCGTTAAGGTATGTTCCTGTATTACTCCTATCACCATTGTCGTTAAGGTATGTGTCTGTTTTACTCCTAGGACCATTGTCGTTAAGGTGTCTTCCTGTTTTACTCCTATGACCATTGTCATTAAGGTATGTGTCTGTGTTACTCCTATGACCATTGTCGTTAAGGTGTGTGTCTGTTTTACTCCAATGTCCGTTGTCGTTAAGGTATGTGTCTGTTTTACTCCTATGTCCTTTGTCGTTAAGGTGTGTGTCTCTTTTACTCCTATCAACATTGTCGTTAAGGTGTGTTCCTGTTTTACTCCTATAACCATTGTCATTAAGGTGTGTGTCTGTTTTACTCCTATCACCATTGTCGTTAAGGTATGTTCCTGTATTACTCCTATCACCAATGTCGTTTAGGTGTGTGTCTGTTTCACTCCTATCACCATTGTCGTTAAGGTATGTGTCTGTTTTACTCCTAGGTGTGTCCATTGTCGTTAAGGTGTCTGTTTTACTCCTATGACCATTGTCATTAAGGTATGTGTCTGTTTTACTCCTATCAACATTGTCGTTAAGGTGTGTGTCTGTTTTACTCCAATGTCCGTTGTCGTTAAGGTATGTGTCTGTTTTACTCCTATGTCCTTTGTCGTTAAGGTGTGTGTCTCTTTTACTCCTATAACCATTGTCATTAAGGTATGTGTCTGTTTTACTCCTAGGACCATTGTCGTTAAGGTGTCTTCCTGTTTTACTCCTATGACCATTGTCGTTAAGGTGTGTGTCTGTTTTACTCCAATGTCCGTTGTCGTTAAGGTATGTGTCTCTTTTACTCCTATCAACATTGTCGTTAAGGTGTGTTCCTGTTTTACTCCTATAACCATTGTCATTAAGGTGTGTGTCTGTTTTACTCCTATCACCATTGTCGTTAAGGTATGTTCCTATCACCAATGTCGTTTAGGTGTGTGTCTGTTTCACTCCTATCACCATTGTCGTTAAGGTATGTGTCTGTTTTACTCCTAGGACCATTGTCGTTAAGGTGTCTTCCTGTTTTACTCCTATGACCATTGTCATTAAGGTATGTGTCTGTTTTACTCCTATCAACATTGTCGTTAAGGTGTGTGTCTGTTTTACTCCAATGTCCGTTGTCGTTAAGGTATGTGTCTGTTTTACTCCTATGTCCTTTGTCGTTAAGGTGTGTGTCTCTTTTACTCCTATAACCATTGTCATTAAGGTGTGTGTCTGTTTTACTCCTATGACCATTGTCGTTAAGGTATGTGTCTGTTATACTCCTATGTCCATTGTCGTTAAGGTGTGTGTCTGTTTCACTCCTATCACCATTGTCGTTAAGGTATGTGTCTGTTTTACTCCTATAACCATTGTCGTTAAGGTGTGTGTCTGTTTTACTGCTATGTCTATTGTCGTTAAGGTGTGTGTCTGTTTTACTCCTATCACCATTGTCGTTAAGGTATGTGTCTGTTTTACTCCTATAACCATTGTGTCTGTTATACTCCTATGTCCATTGTTAAGGTGTGTGTCTGTTTCACTCCTATCACCATTGTCGTTAAGGTATGTGTCTGTTTTACTCCTATCACCATTGTCGTTAAGGTGTGTGTCTGTTTTACTCCTATGACCATTGTCGTTAAGGTATGTGTCTGTTATACTCCTATGACCATTGTCGTTAAGGTGTGTGTCTGTTTTACTCCTATGTCCATTGTCGTTAAGGTGTGTGTCTGTTTTACTCCTATGACCATTGTCGTTAAGGTATGTGTCTGTTTTACTCCTATCACCATTGTCGTTAAGGTGTGTGTCTGTTATACTCCTATGTCCATTGTCGTTAAGGTGTGTGTCTGTTTCACTCCTATCACCATTGTCGTTAAGGTATGTGTCTGTTTTACTCCTATAACCATTGTCGTTAAGGTGTGTGTCTGTTATACTCCTATGTCCATTGTCGTTAAGGTGTTTGTCTGTTTTACTCCTATCACCATTGTCGTTAAGGTATGTGTCTGTTATACTCCTATGTCCATTGTCGTTAAGGTGTGTGTCTGTTTTACTCCTAGGACCATTGTCGTTAAGGTGTCTTCCTGTTTTACTCCTATGACCATTGTCATTAAGGTGTGTGTCTGTTTTACTCCTATGTCCATTGTCGTTAAGGTGTGTGTCTGTTTTATTCCTATGACCATTGTCATTAATGTGTGTTTCTGTTTTACTCCTATCACCATTGTCGTTAAGGTACGTGTCTGTTTTACTCCTATAACCATTGTCGTTAAGGTTTGTTTCTGTTTTTTCATCATTTTTATCACAAATGAATATTTTAGGGAAAAGTTACCTCACTTGCATTGAGACCTTATATATTTACAGTAGGAGCAAATATTGTCGAAAATCGAGACCAGAAACCATATTTCAAACTGTGAGTTTGACCAATTCTAACGTCGTATGCGTTAAGTGTGTATGTCTTGAATTTTGTTACGTTTGTTATTCAGTCATCTTATACTACTCTTTTGGAAATAAATAATATATTTGAGGTTAATTTGAAATAAATATTAGGACAAATCTTTACATTACTTTAATGATACCGTATATCTTGTGTTTCAAGTGTGCATGTATATTTATAATGCGTAGCGTTTTCAAAGATGGAGTTTTTAATTACAATTTCAGTGTAAGTGATTCAGTATATTGTAAAACAAAGCACAGGAATAAAAGAAATAAATTTGGGATGAACGAGTAAAGCAATAACAATATAAAGAGTACCATTGACATTTACTGGAGAAGAGATGACAGATTCATGGATCGCATGATGCTATTGATAGACAAATCATTTAACCAGCGATAAAGCTGCCTGGGTGAATATGTGTCATAACATATAGATAAATTCTTTATGACTGTACAAAAGACATTGGAATAACTCTTATTAGTACAAAATTAGAAAAAAAACTACATCATACATCTTGTTTCAACCCCATAGGACTCGTCAGTGATGGTACATCATATAGTTGTTTCGTCCCCCTAGGACTCGTCAATGATGCTACATCATACAGTTGTTTCGTCCCTCTAGTGCTCGTCAGTGATGCTACATTATACAGTTGTTTCGTCCCTCTAGTACTCGTCAGTGATGCTACATCATATAGTTGTTTAAACCCCCTAGGACTCGTCAGTGATGCTACATCATATAGTTGTTTAAACCCCTAGGACTCGTCAGTGATGCTACATCACATATTTGTTTCGTCCCTCTAGGACTCGTCAGTGATGCTACATCATACAGTTCTTTAAACCCCCTAGGACTCGTCAGTGATGCTACATCACATATTTGTTTCCTCCCTCTAGGACTCGTCAGTGATGCTACATCATACAGTTGTTTCGTCCCTCTCGGACTCGTCAGTGATGCTACATCATACAGTTGTTTCATCCCTATAGTCCTCATCAGTGGTGCTGCATCATACAGTTGTTTCAATCTCCTAGGACTCGTCAGTGATGCTACATCATACAGTTGTTTCAACCTCCTTGGACTCGTCAGTGATGCTACATCATATAATTGTTTCGTCCCTCTAGTACTCGTCAGTGATGCTACATCATACAGTTGTTTAAACCCCCTCCGACTCGTAGTGATGCTACATCATACAGTTGTTTCATCCCTATAGTCCTCATCAGTGATGCTGCATCATACAGCCGTTTCATCCCTATAGTCCTCATCAGTGATGCTGCATCATACAGTTGTTTCATCCCTATAGTCCTCATCAGTGATGCTGCAGCATAGTTGTTTCATCCCTATAGTCCTCATCAGTGATGCTGCATCATGCAGTTGTTTCATCCCTATAGTCCTCATCAGTGATGCTGCAGCATACAGTTGTTTCATCCCTATAGTCCTCATCAGTGATGCTGCAGCATAGTTGTTTCATCCCTATAGTCCTCATCAGTGATGCTGCAGCATAGTTGTTTCATCCCTATAGTCCTCATCAGTGATGCTGCATCATGCAGTTGTTTCATCCCTATAGTCCTCATCAGTGATGCTACATTATACAGTTGTTTCGTCCCACTAGAAATAGTCAGTGATGCTACATCATATAGTTGTTTAAACCCCCTAGGACTCGTCAGTGATGCTACATCATATAGTTGTTTAAACCCCTAGGACTCGTCAGTGATGCTACATCACATATTTGTTTAAACCCTCTAGGACTCGTCAGTGATGCTACATCATGCAGCCGTTTCATCCCTATAGTCCTCATCAGTGATGCTGCATCATGCAGTTGTTTCATCCCTATAGTCCTCATCAGTGATGCTGCAGCATACAGTTGTTTCATCCCTATAGTCCTCATCAGTGATGCTGCAGCATACAGTTGTTTCATCCCCATAGTCCTCATCAGTTATGCTGCATCATGCAGCCGTTTCATCCCTATAGTCCTCATCAGTGATGCTGCAGCATAGTTGTTTCATCCCTATAGTCCTCATCAGTGATGCTGCAGCATAGTTGTTTCATCCCTATAGTCCTCATCAGTGATGCTGCATCATGCAGTTGTTTCATCCCTATAGTCCTCATCAGTGATGCTACATTATACAGTTGTTTCGTCCCTCTAGTACTCGTCAGTGATGCTACATCATATAGTTGTTTAAACCCCCTAGGACTCGTCAGTGATGCTACATCATATAGTTGTTTAAACCCCTAGGACTCGTCAGTGATGCTACATCACATATTTGTTTCGTCCCTCTAGGACTCGTCAGTGATGCTACATCATGCAGCCGTTTCATCCCTATAGTCCTCATCAGTGATGCTGCATCATGCAGTTGTTTCATCCCTATAGTCCTCATCAGTGATGCTGCAGCATACAGTTGTTTCATCCCTATAGTCCTCATCAGTGATGCTGCAGCATACAGTTGTTTCATCCCCATAGTCCTCATCAGTGATGCTGCATCATGCAGCCGTTTCATCCCTATAGTCCTCATCAGTGATGCTACATCATACAGTTGTTTCATCCCTATAGTCCTCATCAGTGATGCTGCATCATGCAGCCGTTTCATCCCTATAGTCCTCATCAGTGATGCTACATCATACAGTTGTTTCATCCCTATAGTCCTCATCAGTGATGCTGCAGCATACAGTTGTTTCATCCCTTTAGTCCTCATCAGTGATGCTGCATCATACAGCCGTTTCATCCCTCTAGTACTCGTTTGTGATGTTAAGAGACTTCAGTATTTGAAACCTTGAAGGCGAGTGAGGAATTATTAATTAGTCGAAAGAGCACATTTTCCATAATTCAATAAGAGCCATTGTCTGGCTCTATGTATCTCACTCTAAATCATTTAAAGGCGCTATTCACTTGTGTTTCTTTTGTACGGTCTTACAAAGATGAAATTTATCATGAATCGTGTCGTGAAATGTTCCTGCTACACATGTATATATGAGACTATGATCATATATGTAACGTTCATTATATTTTTCCAGTTACCTTTACAATTGTATAAAATATATGAGTTTCCAGTTACGGTACTTAATATTTTTAGTTTGAGAAATAGTTTTTGATACTCATGTGAAGCTAACAATTGTTAAATTATACACATATAAGAAACGTGTGTTTATACGATGGAATTTCGTTTCTGTTTCCATGATTGCTTTTTGTTAAAAGACAAACTGACCAACAAAATGGGAAAATGAAATAATAAATTACCACAAATGTTACGGAACCGGGCATTTATGTTGAGGTGATGAAAGTTGTGAAACACGACTACGGGGCGGTGAGAATATTATAGGTAGGCGTGCCAACATTATCCACATTTTCAAATCAACATCACAAAAAATGAATATCCGTATTACAGAAAGACGTATAGCGGTCTAAAGGACGAGATTATTCTTATGTGATATTGAAGGTTTAAATTGTTCAGCGTACTAATACTTTAACTAATTTATTTATGATTTTGCCAACATATAGATATATACACATAAAATCGTGTAATGTAAAAGTTTTAATATTAATACTTTTCAAGAAATAGACTTAATTACATTTTATTCGTTCTGCCTCTGCAGCGTTTGTGTCTTAATCTGAAAGAGTTCTAAAACGAGATTTGAGCGCGAATGTTAATTATGGTGACTGCTAACATGGCATACTTTTTACATTCAATATTTAACGTGGTTACAAAATTAATATTCGAACAAAAGCAAGCGATCGTATGAAACTTATGTCAAGCTATCTGGGATCATACCCAACGATAGTTTTGTCTGACCTTTGCAAAAGTAGTTGTTGCTTAGGAGTACTGGAAGGATGACACGACACTTTGGAATGGGGTGGTTTTATTCAATATCATGCATATATATTCATAAAGTTGAATCAATTCATTTCAAATGTGCTTTTCCACATCTATGTAATTTCACAATATTTATGTAAGCCCATTCAACTATCTACTTTTAAATGGAAATCACAAGAGTTTTACTTTTAATTTTCCAGAAAATAGTTCATTCTCCTAATGTTCAGTTGGCACTGACTGACAGATTGGCATGACCCATAGAAAAGCAGCAGGGATTCTGTAGGAAACTGCTATCCACGACCCGAGGCGATAAATGGGTGTTCGGACAAGTCGTCGCTTTCCCACTTCGTCCTTCGTCAGTCGGCAACTGAAGCCGAGCAGCAGTTTTCGTTCTTCGAAATTCCACGCTTCGCTGCACTCAAGTTAATCTCAATGTTCCAGAACTTGTCAGAACTTGTAGATTTTGTTGATAAGCCTCCAGTTTTTCTGCCAACTTTGCATAACATGGATTTTGAAATGATTTAAAAAACATAATTAGAAAACCACCGAGTGATATTTGGCATTTTAATGAGCCTTTTCTTGGTAATGTAGAAAAATTGTGTTTATAAAGTCCAAATTTTTTGGCTTTGGAAAAAAGTTTGTTTGGAAATTCTCATGAGAAAGACTGCTGGCATAAACAAATGACATCCATAAACATGTGTTTACAAAATAAAAAAAAACTGTATTTACTTAAAAAAGATTTCGTCATATACCAACCGGCCATGAGAATACTCACATGTTGGGTCATCTCTGTTCTCCTGTTTTACCAAAACACTTTCACACAGGCTGACAAAAAAAAAAAAAAAAATGAAAAGAGAGGAAAATGCACAGTTTGAGCTCATGAAAAATAATTACGTCATTATTAAGGTGTTGCCTTGATAACCAATACACTATCTAGTTTATAAGTCTACAATGTAACTACACAATACCTTTCGGTATTTTTTTTTACTTGAAATAATTCAATTAAAGCGTGTACTGTAATAAATTAACTCTCATAATATTCGAAGTGTTTTTTGTGTGTGGTATTTTTTTTTTACGTTTTTTGTCTTGTTTGTTTGGGGTTTTTTAATTTTTTTTTTTGTTTGTTTAGTGTTTTTTTCTTTGGGGTGGTCGTGGTTTTTTTTTTTTTTTTTACTCATTCAAACATAAAACTTGCCTGGTAAATGAATAAATTACTCAATTATAAAATAATATCAATATTCATTGTCCAAGTTCTGTGAAATATCACATTATGTAAATTATATATCTTTTCCATAAAACCTGTTTTATCTAGAGTGAGATTGTGAAAGAAGCCGTAACGTATTAAGCTCCCGAAACGCCAGGTTTTAACGAATCAGATAAGACCAGTAAACTCCATTCAGATATTGACTATTTGTTAAAAATCATGTATTTTCACTAAAAAAAAATGTTTTTCATGTCTAGAGAAATAATAACAAAAACAAAAAAAAAATTCCCGATTAACAACACAAATTAAACACACTTAATAAATGGAATTTCGTTATGTTTAATAATTTAGGTATGAAGCATACGTTACCAGTAAATTAATTTCATGTTCTCTTCAACGTCCACCTAGCGGCTTACAATAAGATGAACCTCCACAATATCCACTGACGAAACAGAAGGAGATGCTGAACTTTCCAGCGTACAGGAGATCTTTCCTAAACACCTCGAGTATTTTCCTGTTTATATAATCAATATAACATTATTGTTGTTGAGCATAGTGAAATGCTTGCGTACAAGTTAGGACTTTTTATTGTAAAATATAAACTTTCATTGAAATGTTGAAAACTAAAGTGAAGCAATGAGATAGAGATTTGACCTGAGGAAATTTCCTATTTGTGGGAGGGTCTATAGTAACAGGTTGTGTAGATGGAATGACAAATATAACTGTTTGTATTTGTGGGAGGGTCTATAGTTACAGGTTGTGTAGATGGAATGACAAATATAACTGTTTGTATTTGTGGGAGGGTCTATAGTAACAGGTTGTGTAGATGGAATGACAAATATAACTGTTTGTATTTGTGGGAGGGTCTATAGTTACAGGTTGTGTAGATGGAATGACAAATATAACTGTTTGTATTTGTGGGAGGGTCTATAGTTACAGGTTGTGTAGATGGAATGACAAATATAACTGTTTCTATTTTTATTTTACTTTTCGAGACATTCAGTTTCAATTGTACTTCTGATAAGCGCCTTCATTCTTCGACTCCACGTAACCACGATTATTTCTTATTATAACTTTTTAAGCCGTGTTTTTGGGAATCATATTACAAGCCAAGTTATCATTCATTGTTGGGTATCGCGTCTAATGTTTTATAGGTTAAAGACTTTCTTTTAATATGTTACAGTATATCTGGTTCGAAAGCTGTTTCATGCCACTTTTTCAAACGAAAATATAAACAGTCGAACGAACGAAATATTGAAAGGATGTTTGTACGATTTCTTTTTTTAAAAAAATTCTTTTTGTTTATTTATTTAGTAGGAAAGGAACGGTAAGTAAACCTATATCATTATTGTACATAATTAACAGTCAATTAATGATAGAAGTAATACATAATACAGATAGTAAATGGTGCAATAGGAAGCGAGTACATAGAGACATATAGACGTATGATCGTGTTAAAGTCACGATTATGGTGGAAACATAAAGGTTTTGAACAAATTGATATATGTATTGAATGGAAACAAAAAGGTTTTGAAACATTTGATATTAGTATTGAATGTGAATGAATTTGATTTAAGTATTGACTGGAAACAAAAAGGTTTTGAAACATTTGATATAAATAATGAATGTGAATGAATTTGATATAAGTATTGACTGGAAACAAAAAGGTTTTGAAACATTTTATATAAGTATGGACAACCAAGGCACGGCCGTTAAACATCAATGACAACAACAGGTTTTGTTCCTGAAACAGTTTCTTCAAAAACTTAAACACAATCTTGTACAATGTTTGATGTTCCATACATGTTATAAATAATGCGAGATTTCTCTTATCTATAAACATATGTTGAGATTGTGGTGGAGTGATATTCAGGACCAAAATGACCACTAGACTTGCTTCGGTTCGTACAATTAGTGAATATGTGAAAACCCATGTATATCCACCAAAACATTTCAATCCGACCCCCTACCTCTCCAATCTCCACCTCATTATTCTCACCATCACCAATCCCTATTCCCAATTTTGACGTTAACATGATTTCGATTGTTTTGGGCAAACTGGAATTTAAAAATGCCAAGAAAGACAACTCTTACAACCCCCGATTAAACCGTTCCCAATACAATATAATGAAAGGTGTGTGATGTTATTAAATAGTGCTTAACATAGCTCGTTTAAACACTGTGTTGAGAATTTCGAATCTTGTTTCTAAAACGTACATGTAATACATTATCATTTTTATTATTATAAATGTTGCACGTGCAGCGATAATAAGTATGGTTAGAGAACTCTTTTCACAGTGTTTAATATTTCTTACAAAGGTCCATCGCAGGTACATATTTCTTTTTATATGACCTACAGTGTGGTTATAGAATCTGTCAAAATCCCAATTACACACAAAACACATGGTTAACAATCAATGCCGTACTTTAACAGCCATGTATATTTAAAAGCTCAAATTAAGCTTCTCTCCGAGTTGTGATAAAGGATTTCAGTTAGACTTTTCAGTACAATGTTACCTTTTTACAAGTAAAGTAAATTATTGTTATCCATAACCTGGTCTTGACGTGGAATCTTAAGAAGGTACACACGCACTGTCATGTTTACAATATACGTAAGTACAAATGTAGGTGCGTGACCTTGTTTTCGGTAAAGTGAACGAAGTAAACAGATTGAATTATATCTCGTCCTTCCGTCTCCTACGTAAAACGG